GATAAAGATACAACTATAATAAAAATAAAAATATTATTTATATATTTAATATAATCAATTCCATTATTCGCAATGATTTAAATAATATGAAATTAATATGAATACAATAGATCCAATGAAAGAAACATGTATATAAATTTAATTGAAATATAAGTTAAAGTTCAAATCGCTATTCGTTTTCCTATTAAATTGTATTTAAATAAATAGGAAATAAATAACAATTTAAATGATATCTTTTACATAATATCGATTTCGAAAATTTCCGGTTTCATATAATTATACGTATAAATAATTTTTTATATAATTATAATTATAATGATTTTATATATAATTTTTTATATAAATTTATATACAATTTTCTTTTTTTATTTTAATTGAAATGATTAATTATGCATTAGTCTCTCATTATCAATATTCATGATACAGTAATTAACAAAGTTGACGTCTAAAGAAAGAAATTATCAATATTCTGACAAAAAAATTATTAATATTCTGATATAAAATCTTCCGATGAATATTGTTCGTAAAAAAAAAAAAAATTTAAATTCTGTTTTGAAAAATTTTTAAATATTCTAATAAAATATTTCCCATTTTGATAGAATAAAAATTCCTCTACACATATATAATTATGTTTTTATATTTTTAATTTTAATATATTATTAGTTTATTTTTCTTTTGAAATACTTCAAAAAAATATTGAAGTATTTCATATCGAAAATTAAAAAAATACATATAATTGAAATATTTTATATTGAAAAATAAAATATATGCTGAATGAAATATGTTAATTGAGAAAGAGAAAATAGTTTAAACATAAAGCTACAAGATAAATACAAGATAAGCAATTAGTAGTTTTTGTAATTTTAGTGATAATGATAATAATATTTTCCAATTTTTTTAGGTAAGAAATTCATTTTGATATATTAATGTACATAGTTAGATTTTCATGCCATAATTTTTTAGAATAAATATTTTTTATTTACTTCATGATTTTCTCTATTCATTAATTTAAAAAGAAGAAAATTAAAAAAAAAAAATCAATATTTTAAATTAATTTTAAGCTAATTAATACAATAGAAAAAATATTTTGAAATCGATATTGATTTTTAATTAGACGACATACAATTAATTATTATAGATATTAAGTATTTCTAATTTTAAATAAAATTTCGATAAAATTTTTATGACAAGTATGGGAGAATTTAAAATTAACAAAAATCGTGACATATTTTGATCTTCGACGAATTTTTCAGGAAGTCTGTCGATCGATGCAAGGACATTGCATTTCGAGATTCGAATCGGCAATCAAGAGAAGGATCCAAGATTCGTTTCTTCCGGTTGTGAATCTTCTCGAGGAATGATTGACAATCATTAATATGCGTTTCGAATAATCGTGCATCGAATTGAAAGAATACAAAAAAATGATTCTTTGTTTTAAATTTACAGAAACGTTAATTTCGATGATAATATTTATTAATTATTTTGCAAAATTATCTCTTATCTCGAATCATTTTTTTGATTCGATTTATCGATGATAATATACTTATATATATGATAATTATTTTGTAAAATTAAGAACCAACTATTTTTTATTTCCTGATTCGATGACAATATTTAATTTTACAATTTTTAATTATTTATAAATTAGGAATCAATTTATTCTTTATTTTCCACTTTGATTTATCGACGATAATATTTAATTTCACGATGATTATTTCGTAATTTAAAAATCAATCAACTTTTTTTTTATTTTTCAATTCGATTTACTAATATTTAATTTTATAACAATTATTTAACAATTTAGAAATTTAATTCTTATACTTTGATTCCATTTATCGTGTATCAAATAAAAAAATACAAGAAATAATATTCCTTCATTATAAGGAATGTAATAAATATTCGATAATATTATTTAATCTTGTAATAATTATTTTATAATATTAATTTTTGCTTCATATTCATTTCTTATATTTTTTTTTATGTATTTAATTTTAATATAAAAAAATTCTATAAACTTAATAACTTTTTAATTTTTACATTACGATGATAAATTATGAATAAAAATGGAAAATAACTTTGTGAATCAATGTCTAATCTATTTCTAATTATTTTGAGAACTATATATTATGAATATAATTACCAAATTATTTTTAATTAATATCTTGTTAATTTTTATCATGTAAATGTGAAATGCTGTTTTCAACTTATTATTTAGCAAATCATCTAAATTATTTTTGACCTCTGAAATTATCGTCCAAAACGTTAAAAAGTTCAAGAGAGATTATTATTGTTGTTATTTCACAGATATTTAACAGTGAAACAAACAAAAACATAAACCTTTTTCAATTGAAAGCAAGTGATCTGTTTAATATAAACAAATTATATATAAAAATTCTAAATAATAATTAAATATTATATTATATTATTAAATAACATTAATATATTATGTATATATAAATTTTTATACAATTTTATTTTTTAGACACAATATGAAAAAAAACATGTATTACATATTTTTATATGTAATAATTAATTATGTTTATATAATTATGGGCCAAAAATTTGAAATCATTTATTTTTTCTTTTAATATTAAATCTTCTTCTACTTTTGTTATTATTATTAGTTAGAAATTAGTTTTAGAGATATTAATATTTTGATAAATTTTTTATAAAAGAATTTTCTAATGCAAGGAAACTTTAACCTAACTTTTTTTTAATTCTGTAGAAACAGTTATTTTTGTAACATATATATGTATTATTTTTTCATATTCTTTAAGCAGTCTGATTCGTAATCTAACCTTTTTTCTATTTTAATTATAAACAGAAAGAGAAAGCAATCAATTTAAAAGTGGTTAAATTATATTAACAATCGATAGATCGAATAATCGCTCGACACAGATAATAACAGTAAAAGTTCGAGAATACATATAAGTTAAAGAAACTCTGTAAAAAATAAATTTTTTCGAAATGAAAAAAACGAAACAACGACGAAACAAGGATGAAGATTTTTTAATTTTTGCCATTTAAAAATATTTCAATGACGACAAGGAGACCGCCTAGCCAGACAAACGTACGTCCCTTAAATAACTGCGACGCGATCGAGTGGAACGTGAATCGAAGTCAAATCGATTGCTCATGTGATTCGTGATTCATGGGACAAGCAGTGCACGCGGAGAAACGATCGAAAAACGACGCGTCAATAGGGAGAGACGTTTCGGTGTTTACATCAACGAACTATGTTACGATTTGATCGTTCGTTTGCTATGATCTTTCAACATTATCGGTTTTCCATTATTATCTCATTGACAGGAAAAAACATGGATATTATCGCAAATTTCTACATCATACTCTTTTGCAGGTAACTAAAATGTTTATTGTTGAACACGAGTTTTATTCTAAGAACGTTAAATATATTTATGTTATTGATATAATATATTCAATTTGTTATTTCAAATACTTATATACGTATAACAGTAAGTGCAAGATATTTTCTTAAAATTGTAATGCATTAATATTGTAACAAAGTATTATGAATTATATAATAATAACAATTTAATGTTTTTAATAAATAATGGAAATAATTTTGAAATTCAATTAAAAAATTAAAAATTATATTGCTGATATAAGCTTGTACGTACGCATTTCTTAACTACCGATTAAAATTCAATTTGTTCGATTCGTTCGTTGTCAAACTCCTATCGAAGAGGTTAGTTTTCTCTTTTCATAATATATCAAGATCAATTATTGTTTTAATCCGTCAAAGTCCAGTTTGCATTAACATAATATTTCATTTGTAATTTCTTTCAATTAACAAACGTAATTATATTATGTTATAAATAATTGTACATAAATACATTATTTTATTGCTTCGTTTTTAATGATATAAACGAAAAGATTCGAAGAAATTCGAAATAACAATATAATTCCACTACTAAAATCAATCGAATCTGTTATTTGTATGTAAGTATGTACTTATCTTGATTTTCTACGATGATATTGATAGCTATTAATAAGTTTTTACGTTTAATATTTTCTACGTTAATAAATAAATAATATCAAGAATTTCATATTTAGTGTAATTTATTTATAAAATTTTCATTCATGATTTATTTGTAATACACGATATATATTTATATTTATAATTTTTACGGATATCCTAGTTGTTACAAACGTATAAATAAGATTAAAGTATATTTATTTAAAATTTTCAACGTAAATTTTTTTCACAGATCGTTTCCAATTATTTCTAAAAGTTTTTGAAATAAATTTTTTCACTAATTAATGTAAAAGTTCTCATAGAACAGACATCTGTAACATTTTTACGATATTTTGTTAAGAAAATAAAAAATTATTAAAGGAAACACAGAAATGGATATCCAGTTGCCAACACAAGGGTTAACGAATTCCTATAAGGTAAACACACGAAGCGCCACCTTGGTAGACATAATTTAAAGATAATATTACGCGCGTTCTGTCTACACATGTGTATGTTTAATACACATATATTTTTTTGTACAAATATATATCTATCGATATCGTATAGATACGGCTCGTATCACTTAGTTTATTGCTAATGACACATTACCGAGTACAAAATAATTGCAAGATAATATACATTGACCCAAAAATACGTAACAACGAAACATATCCAAGTTTTCGTTTTCTATTCAAAACGATCGAATTACACAACTTCGTAATGTGAACACATCGAAATAATTAAGGAAACAAGAAAAAAAGAAGGGAGGGGGAGAAAGCGTAACGCATTTATAAAACATTCTACTAATTGTGATACGAGTATAAAGCGTAAAAATGAACAAAACGGGTGAAATATATTACGGTTTCAACGATTAAATCGACAAAGAGGCGCGCGCACGAAATCGTTTCCGTGCATTTCTGTCGATTTGTTACGTCACATATAAGAAGGAAAAACAACCGCGCGAAGTGGTTGCGCTTCCATTGGAAACGAGCGTGGCAACGTTATGTACTTTCAGCTCACTTACCGGACGATCGGCCGACGACAGGCAATTATGTATCTCACGTAATCGTCTTTCCTTAACAATCGAACACACACTGCTCTTTTTCCGTGCTGTCACTGCCGATCAAATTCTTTGATGAAAAATTCTCTTTCCTCTCTTCGTGGATCACGTTTTATTGCCAGGTTCCCTCCAGATTTTAGCGTCAAATTTTGTTCGACAAAGTTAAACGAAGAATAATAATCAGGCACGACGAGTCGCTAATCGCGACGATTTCTATGATCGGATCACAGAAACGCGATATTTTTTATCAAAATTCTTAACGATCTTTCTTCTCCAATGATTTTTTACAAATTCGTATCAAATGATATATATCAAGAGAAATTAATAAACGAAATGCAAAATTAAAAAAGAGAAATCGAAAAGAAAAAAAAAAAAAAGAAAAATAAAAACGTTAAAGAAACAAATAGGGACGAAAGTCTGCTGCTGCTTATGCGATACCGATTATATTCGTACGAATAAACGCGCTATCACCGTGCCAAGCTGCGGACTGACAGCAGTCACGCCGGTGGATTGCTTTTAACCGAGCCGCCATATTGGTATCGCATCCCTTCTACTTTTTGCGATCCTTCGACTCTTGACGCGAGACCGGACACCTTCATGGACAATGTGCCGCGTCTCTCGTCGCCCTTCACGATTCTTTTGCTCTTTCTTTTTTATATTAATATGAATCATTGAATTCTTTCCATTTTTTTTCTTTTTTTCTTTTTTTTACATATTCAAAATGTACACGTATCTCTCTAGAATTACTTATCAGAATTACATCATTAATTAAATAATAATTTAACAATGATTATTTGATAACAAAATGATGATTAAATGATAATAAAGTTATAGTTTATATTATTTGTTTAAAAATAGTGTATAAAAAAGTTTTAAAAGTTTTTTTTTTAAAAAATCATTAATTGCACAACACATCCAATCAATAATTTACATAAATTTCTTAACATCTGACTGATATCAAATTTAATCTCTTTCTTGTTATATTTATATATATTATATATATTATATTGAAAAAGAATTTATTTTGTTCATCCTTATTGAGTATATATCCAATATATAAATACTTCAATTTTATTCTTTTTTCCCCCTTTATTTTATTTGTTTATATATTTGAAATTTTCCAACAAAATATATACTATATAATATAAAATATTCATGAAAAGTTTTCAATGTAATTAATTTAACAAATATCTTTTAAATAGATTGCAGAATGGCTGCATACTTTATGGAATTATACACTTACGTATCTTTTAAGTATCTTAGTTTTTGGATGCAACGCATTATAATTGGTGGAAAATGACTGCATCATTTGTTGATTTACATTCTTCTGCTTTATTCTATAATTTTTTTTCTTTGACGATTCTTTCTTCTTTATAAATATTAAAATATAATATTTTACGTTTTTTTTCCTCCATTAGTAACTATATATATTAAATTAATTCCCAATCAAAAAATGAATAAGTTAATAATAAAAAATTATAAAAAACACAATATAAATGTGATTTTATTGTATCTTAAGAAAAAAAAAAAAAAAAAAAAAAAAAAAAAAAAAAAAGAAAAAAATAACTCAAAAATCAATAAATATTTGTAAATCTCGATATTACGATGCAAAAAAGATAATGAATGGCATAATAACATATCTTTGAGGAAAATTTAAAATCTTCAACACGATTGGTCCGATGGTCAATAAGTTCGGACAAAGGTTTTTTTCGTTTCGTTTAACGAACGTGACTGATGTCGGATAACAATACGCAACGAAAACGATCGGTTCAACATTTTTGAAAAACATGTAAGTACGACATACATCTGTTAAACTTAATCGAAATACAAATATTCGTCTACCTTACGCCTAGCCTCTAATAAAAATTGTTCACCTATGTAAATTCTATTCCGTTTCGAACATTTTTTAAAATGTCAATTAGAATTCGTATTGCGAATTTTCACGAATTTGCGTTTTAAAATCAACAAACATTTTATTTCGAGAACAAGATTCATCACTCTGAATGTTCAATGTCTTGTTATTGGTCTGATCCGTTTCTCGACGGATATGTGAAAACTTTCGACACCTCATTCAGAATTCATTCGGAATATTTCTTAGAAAAAAGAAAAAAAAAAACTCGACATTCATTCGAATCGATTCCGATCGAAATTGTATTATATATCATATTTTTATTACATTTATTTATCGCAATACAATGTGACTTAATTTGTTTGCATTACATACACATGTAATTTATAAAGGATAATAATAAGAAATGATATTGCAATTTCTCTGTTTATCAATCGGTTCTCATCTTTTATTAATACACGAATCAATTACGAAGAATAAAAGAAATGAGAAGAAATACTGTTGGTGGAAAAGAGAGAAAAAAAAAAACAAGAATATAAAGAAAAATATAAAAAAAAAATAAGTTTTCTCATTTCAATTCTACTTCGTTCGTTAAAATATTCGATATAAAGAAACTTTTTATTCTATTCATTGAATATGCAATCTCGTATCGAATATCGGTTGATAATATCGAAACAAAATTATGAAGTATTTTCTAATATCAACGACTTTGAATTTTTTTATTAGAAAAACAGGAAGAAAATATATTTTATATCTATTAATCTTGTAATAAGGATTTTTTTAAAAATGTTAGAATTGAATTTGTATTAAGAAAAAACACTATATTTCTTGTATGTTCGTGTTCCAAGAAATTTTTAAGAATTTTAAAATTAATTAAAAACTTTCTTTAAATTCAATAAAAATTTCAATAAAATAGCCGAGATGATTTATTTATCAATTATAAATATAATTATGTACGTCATACTATTATAAATATGAAAATTAAAATATTGCGTGAAATTTAATCTTTTACGCACATGGTCGAATCAACAATTCAAGACGATTTTCCGATTCGATGAATTTTTTCATTAATTTGAATTTTCATACATAAATTAACTAAATATAAAACTTTTATATTTTAATATTTTATGTATTAATTTATTTTAATTCTTTTATAAGCTAAAAAGTTTTTATAAGCTAAAGAATTTATTCATGAAATGATATTCTAAAGAAATCAAACATAAATGAATATTGCCGCTATTCGAATTACTGCATCGATAAATGATGGCCAAGAATTATCAAGTAGTGTTTAAAAGTCACTTCTTAATTGCAAGTAAATTAATATTCTAGAATACGCAATTATATCATGAAAAAATCATATGCTCTAAATATTCGTTCATTTCAAATCATGCTTCTTCATTACAATATAATATTTATTTTAGCATATAATTCATCGTTCATTAAAATTCGTTTGAAATAATTGTCTCGAAGACAAAGGTTGAATATCTTAGGAAAGAATTTAATTCAAAGATATAAAATTTTTCTTGAGAATTATTTCTATAAAACGATGATTTTATATATATATATATATATATTCAAATTTTGTTCATTTGTATCATTTCAAAATATTGATTTAAAAAACAAAGAAAATAGTAGAAATTTTAATAGATTTTACTCTTTCAAAGTGCTGTTCTATTAAAAAGATATATTACTTAATACATAACTTAGTCTTATTAATTTCAAACTTTTGAACAAATAAAAATAATGTGTAAAGATTATAAGTAACAAGAAACTGTATACATAAGTATAGGTTATTACACTTATTTCTACAAATTTTTCATAAAAAATTTTTTTAAAAAAACAATATCGTAATTTAACTTTTTATTCATTTTATAAAAACTAACAATGAATAACAAGAAATGATATAATAATTGAATATTAATTAAAGATAAAAGTAAAAATAACTTGATAGATAAATTTAAGACATATAAAACTTATTTCTACAGATCAAAAAAGGAAAGCATGATCCTAATTTTTGTTACATTTTTAATTATCCTGTAGAAAATTAATTTAGATAAATTTAAATAGATTTGTTTCAACCAGGTTTTTATAAAAATATTTTCTAAAAAAATATCTAACCTAACCTTTTCTTACATTTTTAAATTCTGTGAGATACATTTTATTAGTTTTAAATCTAAGTAACAAAAAACTTTATAAACTTATACATGATAAATTTTAAATTTTAAACGTAATTTTAAATTGGAAATAAATTGAAATTTTTAAATGTTTTTTTTTTTATATTCTACTATTAGACTTTGTTCACAAACATAGTATCTAATTTTTTATTTCAATAATGTAAAATCATTAACTAATATTTATCCACAAGTATACATAACGTCAAGTGTATGAAGGCGTATCGCGGTTTAATTTCTGAAACAGTATTTTCGCCTGATTCCGTATATAGTAGAAAGTAAAAACGTAACGATTCGTACGTCCACTTTCCAGACTCGCAGTTTTATGACTTATATAGTTATATGCCACAAACAACGTAATTACTCGTATAAAGAATGCTCGTTCACAGTGAATAATACAAGGACTTATATATATATATAAATATGAGAACTAACGCAAGAAAATATTCATATTTTGAAAGAGAAAAAACATTTTTGTTTTAAGGAAATACGAAAAGATAATACTTTTTGAATAATTGATTTTCTTTTGCTATCCGATTTTGCATATATATAAGATTATATCCTCAATCTCAATTTAATTAATTAAATAATTTTTGAAATTATTCATTCAATTATTCATAACCAATTTTGAGCTAAAGTTCGAATTAAATATACATATAAATTTTTTTTTTCTCAATGCAATACGTGGTCCGTCAATTCTTATTCATGTCATATAAATATATGTTTTTTTTTTCTCTGCATCGCAACTCAGTCTCAAAAGCCGATAAATAGCAATTATAAAAACTTGAATCTAATTTTCGGATATGCTGAAATTATGATTCGAAATAGAAAAATTAAATATAACACTTACATCTTCGACGATATAACGATATTATATATTTCTTTTGTGAGCATTTTAAATCGCAGTTTCTTACGAAAACATACAATCATTGATCCACAATTGTGATTATGATGTTTGAGTATAATGTTGTATATTGATTCATACATCCACATTTCATTGCAAAATCGCAATGTTATAGGTTAGGTTCATAAATATCCGATTTCTTGACGCATAGTTGCCGTGCGATAAAACATCGTACACTATACTTATTATTATGTAAGAAAAAATGTTTTCTACTCAAAATCTTTTTGCGACTCAAAAGCATGGATATACAATGTTACATTTAAAATTTGATACATATATCTATTTTTTTATGAGAAAATACTACAAGTTAGATATAATAACATCTTGCATGTTTTTCTTCTTCTTCTTTCTTGTGTACTTTTAATCCTTATAAAAATATAAGATCATATGCAATGCGCATGTTCGACATTTTATTGCACGGCGACTGCGCATTATCGTATATAATGGACTTCAAGAATCCTGTGATCATCAGGGAGAAGAGTCCATGTGTCATGCGATTTTCTGATCGCCAAATTCAGGGAATAGATATCCATCATCTTTCGTAATAAAATAATTTTTGGCCGATGACGCAAT